GGGGAGGGGTCAAGCTGGGCAGCCGCTGCAGACGGCGGTGAAGGCCGCGGTGAAGGCTGCGCGCGGCGCACGCTCGCGGTGCGTGCTGCTGCTGGCCGCAAGCAAGCAAGCGGGAGCGGAGCCAGGCGGCTGCGCGGAGGCGGAGGCGGAGGCGGAGGCGGAGGCGGAGGCGGAGGGAGAGAGGCGGAGGCGGAGGCGGAGGCGGAGGCGGAGGGAGAGAGGCAGAGGCAGAGGGAGACGGAGAGGCAGAGGCGGAGGCGGAGGCGGATGGAGAGGGAGAGGCAGAGGGAGAGAGAGAGGGGGAGGGAGAGAGGCAGCCGGTGGTGGGCGGAGGGCTCCAGCCGGGCCACAGCCGGGCCACAACGGCAAGCTACAGCAGCGTGCTACAGCGGCAGGCTACAGCAGCGTGCTACAGCGGCAGGCTACAGCGGCGTGCTACAGCGGCAGGCTACAGCGGCGTGCTACAGCGGCAGGCTACAGCGGCGCGGCGGCGGCGCGGCGGCGGCGGAAGTGTGGGCGCGGCGGCGGCGGAAGTGTTGGGGCGGCGGCGGCGGAAGTGACGGGGCGGGTGTGGGGCGGGTGTGGGGCGGGTGCGGGGCGGCGGTCTGCGGCGCCTTTGTCGACTTGGAGAGGGTCTGCAGCCCAAACGAGACGTAGTGCAGCGCCTGCGCGGCCGAGGCGAGAGGTGTGGCGAGAGGTGTGGCGAGAGGTGTGGCGAGAGGTGTGGATAGAGGTGTGGCGAGAGGTGTGGCGAGAGGTGTGGCGAGAGGTGTGGCGAGAGGTGTGGCGAGAGGTGTGGCGAGAGGTGTGGCGAGAGGTGTGCGCTGCCGTGGCGAGAGGTGTGTGTGGCGGTGGCGAGAGGTGCGGGGAGGGATGGGGAGGGGAGGAGAGGAAGGCGCGGGCGCGGGCGCAGCGTCTCCGCCGGCCGGCGTCGGCAGGCGGGAGTTGCGAGTCTCTGTGCGTTCCTCCTCAGCACGGTGCGGGCTTCGCGGGAGAGCGCGCCTCGTACTGCCCGTAGGAGGAGAGGGTGTTTGAGATGGAGCAGGGGGCAAAGGCGTAGAAGGGAGCGGGGATCTTGAGCGAGCGGTGCTGGATGCCCATCGCCGCCATCGCCACCACGATGGCCAGCACCCGGTTCGAGAAGACGCAGAACGTGGCTGACGGAAACTTGCCAGTCGTGTACTCCTTGGTCATGACCTTCTCCTGCACAAAGCCCCAGGTGAGGTAGGAGACCTGCAGCCCGACGAAGCAGAAGGCGAACGCGGCCGCGTCGGCCGCCTTGTTCTTCTCCTCCTTCTTTGCAGCTGCTGGCGTCTCTGGGCTCGACGTGTCCGACTTCTCCACCCTGCCCTTCTCGGGGTCCAGCATAGGAGCCTTCTCCAGCTCTGCTATCCGGGAGTCACGACCATCCATCTCGGAGGCGACCGAGTCGTCGCGGTCTTTGGCTGCTATGGTGGCAGACTCTGGCTGTTCGATGGGCGAGATCTCTTTTGCCTCGCTCATCTAGGCGCCGCGCCAGCAGGCGGCGGTCGTCTTTGCCTCGCAGACAACTTCACGGCGAGTAAGGAAGTAGTCCGTTTAGGAGTAGAAGTAGTGCGTGCTCACAGTTCACAGAAAGGCTGATAAGAAAAAAATGGAGCGCGGCTAGGGTTGCGCAGCTATGAACAGGAGCGAGTTCGCGCTGCGCTAGGCTCAGACGGCGAGTTCGCGCTGCGCTAGGCTCAAACCCGGTACACGGAGCCAACCCTCGGAGACCCGTGTTTACTTTACGGCCCTTGCCCTGCGAACGCGCACCCCCAGGGCTAGGGCTCTCTTGCCCGCAACCCGATGCCAATCATCCGGCCCGCTGGGTGCGCTTCTCAGCTCCCCGGCCCTGGATGTGCGGTCGGTTTAATGACTGCACTCCAAGTGCTCCAAGTGCTCAGTATACGGCTAGAGCTCGCGCTGTGCGCGGCCTGACAGATGACTCTCTTGCGGGCGGCCTGACTCTCTCTAGTCTCTTGCGGAGGTTTTATCTCTGGAGAGCGGCACGTGCGCACGTCCTCGCCATCACCGCCGATGGCGCCGTCTGTCTCACAGCGCAGCGTGCGCGGCAGCTGCGCCGCCGGCGGCCCCACGCCGCATCAGCAGCGTTCTGAGTGAGTTAGGCTGCGCTGCACAGCCTGCTGAGCACGCTCCCCACGAGCAGCGCGCCACCACGCGGGCCCGCCGCAGGGTGGCGATGCGGGCGGCGAGTCGACACGCGTGTCACAGTCGTAGGCAGCGCTGGCGAAGCGAGGCGGCCGGCGCCGGCCCCCGCAGGCGGTTGCAGCGAGAGAAGCGATGTAAAAGACACTGTTGAAAGGGTGGGGAGCAGCCTGCCGTCGAGCAGCACGTCGCGCGAGCCCGCTGCCGGCGACCCGATGTCCCGATCGAGAGCTCGTATAGTCATGGTACTATTCAGCGCGCCATCTCGCCCGAGACGGCCCGCCCTGGCCCTGTAGGCCTTCCCAGACAGCTTGTCGAGGCTGTACAGAGTGCCGAGAGCATGCTGGGCAGGCTCCCGTCGAGCGACGAGCCATGCTGGCTCGTCGCGGCCCGCGAGCTCGAAGACCCGCGAAGAGCGTCGCCGAGCCTGGCGTGCCCTATGCATAGCCCGCCCGCACGCCCGCGGCCGCAGGCGTGGAAGCCAACCATCCTGGCGTCTATGCCAAGCGCGCACATGCCAAAAGACACCTCGCAGCGCGCGAGACGTGACCAAAGCGGCACGCCTCGGCGCCGCGAGAGCAGCTGGTTGACGTCGGCACCAAGCGCGCGGCCGCCGGGCGCCTCCGAACCGACAGGGGCGCCGCGGCAGTAGAGAGCACTCCACCCGCCATACCGTTTTCTGGCGAGACGATCGAGGGGTCCCGTACAAGTCCGCGCACTTAATGATTTTCGACCGACCGCAGGGAAACGCAGGGGCGCCCCCCCCCGACCGAGCTGCGAAACAACGGCGTCCACACCGGCCGCCGCTCGAGAAGCCCCAAAATTTTCTTCGGCGCTGCGCGCCGTTGCAGTCGTAGCTGTAGTCGAGTGTAGGTACACGTATGTTGCAGCCCAGCTATCGTGCCGCAAAAAGGTCCATGTGGCTAGAAAAAATGCTGCCGGTCGCCTCGAAAGCGCCCGCCGGTGTGTGTCCAAAGATGTAGCGCTACAAGTTTTGGGGGACGCATCCGACACACGGGCAGGTTTTCGCGCTTCTATGCTGGCCAACGGTGATGACGCCGTCGCGTCACCGACGGCTCGTGCTTGCGTATGATAGCAACCCCTCGTCCGACGGCAGCGTCCTCGTGTCCGCCACTCCGCCCGCGCGGCATCATTACTGTCCGCCTACACCACTGCGGCCGCGGCCGCACTCGCGGTGGCAGGGGTTTACACGCGCCCCGGCGCAGGTGCAGCAGCAGCCAGTGCAGCAGCAGCAGCCAGTGCAGCAGCGCGTGATCACGCTTGCACAAGCGGTGGGTGGTCGTCATGTCCTGCAGGATGGGTCACTTTGGACGCGTCCCATCGGAAGGCCCCACGTCCACCCAGCTTCACGAAAGCACAGCGAGGCGCGGTGCAATCAGTGGAAGCACCATCGGCTCAAAAAGAAAACCGATGCTGCCCTGCAGGCTGCGCAGACAGTGCTGGCTCTTTATAGCGAGGCGACCCGGCGCGAGATGTTGGCGCAGAGCGAGCGTGCAAGGCAGGAGATTCACTCTCGCGCCACATCCCTACAGCGGGAGGTGAGTTCGCGGGAAGAGGAGCTGGTCGCGCTGCAGGCCCAGGTCGGCAAGAGCGTACAGGCTGCCTTTGCTCAAGGTGAGCAGAGTGGCTATGCGTCTGGAGCGGCTGCAGGGAGCGTCGCGTTGGCGACTGCAAAGGCACAAGCTGCCGCCTGGCAAGAGCGAGCCGAGATGCGAGGGCGCACTCTGCCTCGTGACGTTCATCGCCCGGCCCCCTCCCCGGGTAATCTACCAGTGCCATGGGTGCACCGCTCTGGTGCTTCGCGCGCGGAGGTGTTGCAGCAGGTCGCACTCCTGAAGCCCACGTATCCTGCCGCCCCCTTCCCTGCGCCGGGCACGCCCCCTTTCCTGCCGCCCCCTATCGCTGATGCCGTGCCAGAGGCCGAAGCTAACCCTGCGCCGCCGCTGGCAGCACCCCGCAGGAAGGTGTATGCCTCTGGGCCCTTCCGTCCCACCAACACCCTGACTGGCGCGCTATAGATAGTATTTTGACGGCATGTTGGACGGTGGGCATCCACAGAGGCCTCGGTGCGGCTGTGAGTGTGACGAGGCCGTGGTGCGCGTGTTTGTTTTGCGAGGTTGTATTCAAAACATGTAAGGCTGGTACATTCTAAGACATGTCGCACACGGCCGATAGTCCAACAGTGAGAGACTCTGCTCGTGACATGCGACTCCGCGACTGCCTGCCGCCTGTGTGTGGCCGCGCCCCGCTCCTACGCCACTAGGGGGTGGTGGCGAGGTTGATGGGGTTCGCCTTCTTGCCGCGCGGGATCTCTCCCGTGTAGACGAGGCCACGCTTCGTTGGGCGGGAGCGTGGCGGTGTCATCGGAGGCTTCTCCGAGGCTGGAATGCCAGATGGGCCTGCTGCAGGCCCACCCGACGAACGGCCACGCTTCAGTGGGCCTGCGGCCCCACCACCCGACGGCGGCGACCGGCCGCGCTTCAGCCAATGCACGATGGAGCATTGCTCGGACTTGGTCGGCGATACGGCCAAAAGCTGCTTGGTGGCTTGGCGAAGCCACTTGCGCTGTGCCGCTGGCGTGAGAGCTTTGAGCTGCCGCCGTGTCATGTTGCCCTGGGTGATAATCGGCACGCTTGCGGGTGACTTCGGCTGTGGCGGGCGCTTCGTGTAGCCGCCAACGAACACAACGGGATCCTGCTTGCGCTGAACCTTGCGGCGAGGCGATTGGACCATTGGGGCACTGAGAATCTAGGTTCGTGGGTCGTGGAATGCAAAAATGACCGGCACGACGGTCGCTACAATTGTAGAAACTAAGTTCAACCCAATCAGCCGCTCCCCACACGAAAACGGGCATGACGGGCACGGCGTTTTGGGAATTGCATCTGAGGTCGAACCGATTCAGTGGTGTGTCGGCTTCTGTGGTCCAATTCATTGTTGGATCAATCTGCGACTGAATGAATGAATTTGCATCTGCGACTGAGTGTACGCGTCACCTCCCCGTGCGCCGCGCCCGCCCCCGGGGGCGCGAAAGAAAGAAAGAAAGAAAGAAGACCAACCCAAGGGAGGGAGGGGAGGACGGCACGCCGCCACCACACAGGGATGCGCGACAGCTGAGAACTTCACGCCAGGAATATTCTTTTCCTCCCGCCCGCCGGAGCAAATTCGGCCGACGCGCATCGCGTCTCCCAATGGAACGCGGCCGAGGTCTCTTCAGCTTTTTCACCGCCTTGTCAGCAGCCAACCCATCCGAGGTCAAGGCTGCAAAGGAGGCTCGCGCCGCGCGAGACAAGGCCGACGCCGACGCATGTGGGGAGCGCTCAAAGGCCGCGAAGAAGGCGGCCAGCCAGAGCTGCTGGAATGAGGCCACGGCCTCTGGGAGCAAGAAGGGTCTCTCCAACGACCCTGAGGCAATTCGCTCGCGGGAGCGGCGCAAGCGAGAGGCGGCGAAGAGGGAGAAGCAGCGCGCTAAGGCGTTCAATGACTCTAACGCGGCTGCAGCCAACCACCCCGAGCCGGCAGACGTAGAGAAGGAGACGCACTACACGGACAACAAGGGTCGCAAGCGCAAGCGGAAGACACTGCGCTCGCGCACGGACGGTGTTAGGTACACCAAGGCTGGCAGCGTCATCTACAGCGACACCGAGTGCCGCATGGTTGCGGAGACATTTGACCGGATCAAGGCGCGCAATCTCCCGGGCGACACGGAGCTCTACGCAAAAACTGCGAAGGATCTGAGGAGCCGTCTGCCGACAACCTTCTCGAAGCTCGGTCGGCAGCAAGTGCGGCAGATCATCCTCCGCCGTGAGAGAACTGGAGCGCTTGACGGCCGCGGCCGATTCACCCCTCTGCCGGCCGTACTCATTACTGCGATCCTACTCGCCTTCACTTCTGTGGTCAAGGCGCGAGCGACGGTCATCTCCGCACCGATGCTGCAGCCCATCGCAATCGGAATCATCATTGCACACGGCTACACCAGCCTGCTACGGGAGGGGCGCGGGAAGCGGGGCGAGTTCTGCTGCGGCCTCCACTTTGTGCGTGGCCTCATGAAGCAGAAGGGATGGCGCAACGTGAAGCCTCAGGGTGACACGCGCAAGGTGCCGCCAAACTGGGCCGAGCTCGTGCATGCCATGGTTCTGCGCCTCGCTTACTTTGTATGGCAACACGACATTCCAAAAGAGCTGGTTTGTCATGGCGACCACACAG